TATCGCCGGCATTAGCATTACCCAAAATATTTAATTTTGGAGACTGGCCAGTCAAGGCGAGATCAGTCGGTGGTCTGTGAATCTTGACCTTCAGTTAACGCACAAACAAAAACATAACGTAGGTGGTATTACATATCTTGGGTAATGCTAGTGCCGGCGATACTGTAACTTTGAAGCATTATAACTTGAAAAGTACTTCATGAAAAAATATTTCATTATAGCGTTTTGGAAAGCTCTCGACATCAGCTATTAGATTTTTGAATAAAAAATAGGGTGTTCCATTTAAGAAAATCAATGTAATCTTGACCTGACCTTGGCTACGCAACCCAAGGTCAAACTGATATATATAGGATCAGTAAATAGATATTTTTAAACCATATAACTTTTGTCTGAAACACTTTTCTGTAAAACCGATATATTTCCTGAGATATTTAGGTGTCCCGACCTTTTTGGGATACCCTGTATATATACCATACATGTCTACGAAACGAAACTAATAAAATTAGTATTATATTATCGGTTTCTTTCAAAACAGTCATACTAACTTCCGGCCATCTTTAATAGCATCTCGTTGGTGCTATACGTTATGTTACGTTAATATAAATATTAAATAAAATAGACCAGAAAATGTTTAAACACAAATAAGAGACGAAAGCTATTTTGGATCAAAGCAAGGCTTCTTGCTTAGTAATGTTCATATGTTAATATACAAGTACAAATATCAATTCTATAAACTGTGTATCGATTCGATTTATCGGACTTGAAACACAATCGTGAAGAAATAATTTCACAATTATATTTCAATTAGTTGTTTTCCTCTGTAATTTATGTTAATACATACAATACTATAAATATATATTAAATAATTACCTCTATTATTTTAAGTACTTTTTTCGACTTCTTTTTACCTAGCTTCAACTGTAAAAACAATTAATTTATTATATTTAAGTAGACATGTTACTTTAAAACATCTGATTTTGTACTATAGATATATGAAACTATGTCAGAATATTATGTGTTATGTTAATATAAACAATATTACATGAAATAAACCGAAAAGTATTTAAACACAAATACGAGACAAAAGCCATTTTAGGTTAAAGCGGGTCTTAGTTTAGTAATGTTCATATGTGATATATAAATACAATTATATCAATTCTAGAGTATGCACTGATTTGGTTATTCAAACTTGAAACACAATCATGAAATGAAATAACAATCTCATAATTATCTCAGTTCATGGCTTTCTTCTCTTATTTATGTATACATATAATACTACAAACTACACTATGTTAAATAATTACCTTCATTAGCGTAAATATTTTCCTCAACTTTTTTTTCCATATTTTCAACTGTAAAAAAAATTAATTATTACATTTAGGGGTCTATTCAAAATGTACACATATGTATACATATGATAATACAAATATGTTAAATAATTACCTTTGTTATCGTGAGTATTTCCCTGAACTTCTTTTTTCCTAGTTTCGACTGTAAAAAAAATTAATTTATTACATTTAAGTTAACATGTTATTACTTCTAATTTTTTACTATAGATACTAAACTATAATGTCAGAAGCAAAAAAATTGTATGAATTCTTATTGTAAATATTGAAATAAATTTTTCTGTACTCATGTGTGTTTAACAGATTAATAAAATGTGTATAAAATCTTTTATAAACGTAAATGTATAATGGAATTCGTAGTGTTCTGCATTTTCAACTTATATTTACTACAATTAATAAAATTTTTCTGATAAAATATTCTCGGTCTGGTATTTTGGGATGGATGGGTAGGTGCGTGCGTGCACACGCACATGCGTTACGTATGAAGTAATATTAACAATAAGAATTTTACTGGACTATCTATTTGAAAAAGTAACATTACCTTCGTTAAAATTACTCTCTCGTTCGTCAATACCTCTTCATCTTCGACTCTTTTTTTGACGTGGAGTTCAGAAGTTGAAACTAATTAAAATTAAAGAAGCAAAAAAAACTTAATTTATTATTATTTTTAATTGTTAATTTATTAATTATTTGAATTTTACCTGAATTAACAGCTCCTTCTGTAAGTAAATCAGCATATATTTCCTCGTTCTCAATACTGAGATCTAAATTTGAAGAATGTAAATTTAATTATAAAAAGCAATTGTAATTGTAAAAATATGTAAATACATCACATTATAACAAATATAAATAAATTATATTTATCTATATAATTGATCTTTGTTACAAAATAAAAACTGGTTAAGTCTGATGAAAAGTAATTGTAGTCCAATGAAATTAATATAAATTCAACATATGGTCATATGGGTAAAATAATTCTATATAAAAATTCTAATTCAAGAATATAATTCATAAAATATACTGTAATAACTGCGATATACCTTGTGTTGGTCAAACCAAATTTAAGTACTCACCAATTAATGATGACATTTGATGTTGCTGATAACTCATTTCATCATCAAAAACTTGCAGAAATTGTTCCAAAGAAAAAAGACCAGAAGATAAATAATTTTGTGCATCTCGTATTTTTATATTTCTAAACATACTGGACGGAAAACGGTTTTTTGTCATTTGTTGACCGTTTACTACACGATCGTAATTGGTTTCTTGATTCATAATTAGTTTAGAAACATTATCTACAAAAATTTAAATAAAAATTAATCATATTAGAAATAATTATTAAGTATTAAGTAAAATTAATAGTTTAACTATACATTTAATCTTTATATTGCTGTGTAGCATTTCGTAGAACATACAGGATTTGTATTATCAATAAAATATCATACTTTATTTTTATAATATTCTTATTATATTAATAAAGTATTATATTATATATATATATACGTACTTAAAAATATCCATAAATTTGGATGAACCGTTTGCATTTTATGTCCCATGATATTATGAAACGATTCTACAAAGTTAGTGGTCCTTTTTGGGCAGCGATATACACAAACTTTTTCTAATATCGAGAGCCATGTACTTCTCATATATGCCATAAAAAGCAACATATTAGGATAAAAATGACATTCTTTATTCATAATTATTTGCATAAGAATTAAACCTTGTGAAAACATTTCTGGTGGTACTAATGCTAACGCCATTGCTATGGATACTACCTTATGTGGTATGGTAAGTCCTAACTGTATCCATTTTTTCAAAACTGCCTACAAATACAGAACATGAGTAAATTGGTAAAAATCTAATTGTAAGTAACATTTATAAGTAAAGTGTTTTATGAAAAGTTACTATATGAAAAATTTTATTAGACTATTATGAAAAACTTTATGAAAAACTTTATTAGAATATTATAAATATTCTAATAAAGTTTTATAAATAATCTAATAAAAAAGAGTAGACAAAAATTGATTACAGTACTTGTTTAAAAATCATTTATTTACTTGGCAATAATGGAACCAATAGCCATATAGAGATGCCTGAGGAAATTGTTTATGAAGAGTATTCATTGATATTTTTTCATAATCCATTATTATAAAACGTAAATTGTTTTGCAACTTAGGTACTAATTTAACTATTTCTTTCCATATCGAATTGTAAACAAATTCTGTTTTCGCTTCACATAGAATAAGTAACACTGCAACACCCTAGAAGATAATATTACAAAACATAAAAGATTACACACAATAAATATATATAATAATTTATATTCATTGTATAATACCTTCTCCTTGTACTGCACATGTACTGAAAATAATTTAGCAAACTTGGGCATTCTGGGTATAGCCTAAAATAAGTATATATATATATATGTGTGTATAACACAAATATATCGTACATATTGTATTTTGTGTATATATTCACAAATATTCTAATAATATTTATCAATCGTATTTAAACAAAATATTAGCAGCAACTACTTACGGGAAACGTTCCATTTACATAAATTTCAGAACTCTTCTCTAATAATTTTAAAAGTTTATCAGTAGTGAAAATATATGAATACTTGTTGTCTTCAGATATAATGCAGCTTTTATAAACAGATTTTGTAAATTCATATTCCTTAAGTAAATCACTTAAATCACAAACATTTGAAGGTACTGGAGGTCGCATTTTAATTTTTTCTCTTGACAACAGAGTTTTCATTGCATTATATGAGATATTTGCTGCTGCACTTTGATTCTTTTGAGAAATTGTATTATATATTTCTTTAAATGTTGCAGTGGTATGTTTAGACATTTGAATCATTTCTCTTTTTAATTTGAAAACATCTATAACATGAGGCTCACTTGGATGATTATGTGTATTTGCTAAAGTAAATTTTTCATTTTGTACCATTAATACGCCTCTACATAAATGACTGCGTCTTCTTGCACAGCGATATACATGAGTATATCTTTTATCAATATTATATTTATATCCCTCATATACATATATAAAACTGTCTCTCCTTTTTCCAGGTATTACTTCCATTTTGATGCTATAAAAATAAAATATATTGATTGTTGTACTTGGTAAAAAATTTTTTGTATAAGAACATTTATTGTGTTGCGCCCTTATGTAGAAAACAAAACTATTAAGTTACAGTAAAATACTTACGTGACGCTTTCGTTTTTTCGTTTTCAGCTCGTTAAAATTAAGGAATATTTACTGTTAAGAATTTTCAACATTATTAATGTATATTCGGTTAGATCATCAAATCCATTTTAATCGACTTTCGTTTACTAAGATGATTACTTAAAAAGCTAAAAACTTACCAATATAGGAATAGTAACATGAAAAACAACAAGTATTGTTTCTTTGTGACAAATTTTTCATCACGCGGATTTCTCAAATACAATCTTATCATCAATTTGATTGTATCTCCTTATTCCAGATGTATACAATGCACGTTCATCTCCTTCTCTCATGGCAACATAGTTAAAATTAAAAAATATGTATAACCCTTTTTATTCAATTACAATAGCTAAAGTCTGAATATTAAACACCTCGACAACAAAATTTTATACATGTCGAAAGTATGACATTATAAATACAATGTTTTGAATATAACTGAAACATAAATAAAAAATATGTATTTACCTGTTTTTACATACAAGTCGGTATTCATAGTCAGTTCTTATGCGGGGTCTACAATAGAAGTCGTAATGGTTGTAGGGTCTTAAGTCGTAGAAAATTGATCAATCATAGTTGATTATTTTTCTCCTATTCGACTGTGATTGGTCAATTTTCTACGACTTAAAATCCTACGACTACTACGACTTCTATTGTAGACCCTGCATTATATTCAAGACCGTCTTAAGTTCAGTCTTGAGATGTCACGAACCAATCAGAGGGCTATATTAGCATCTTAAGACATTACTTAAGCCCGTATCAGACTACTGACTCTGCAGACTACAACTCTGACTGCTGATCAATAATGGACTAATCACAATAAGACTGATTCAATGTGATTGGTCCATTATTGGTCAACAGCCAGAGTTGGCAGTCGGGTCGGCTTGCAGAGTCGGTAGTCTGATACGGGCTTTAAGATGGTCTTGAAATAAGATCTGACTATGAATATCGGCTACAATATCCCAAAGGCCGGAATCAGACTACACATTGAAGACTGAGATTGAAGATTGAAGATTAAAATTTGACCAGTGAGGACAAAGGAATTTTAGCTCCTATTGTTTTGATTGGTCAAATTTCAATCCTTTAATCTTCAATCTCAATATTTAATGTGTAGTCTGATTCCGGCCAAACACTGATTGCATTCAACAGACCAATCAGATTTTAGATTTAGAACACATCAATAGCAACGAGTACTCACTCAAATATTGAGTCTGCTAAATGCAACCACTGAAATCTGAATGTTAACGGCAATGACACTATTTTATTTATATATATATATACACACTATACATTAAAGACCTAGTGTAAGATTTACACAGCGTACAACATTCATCGTATGACGATACAATATCCAGTAAGAGAATTCGATTCTAATCAACAATATTTTGTCTTCAAGGAGTCGATTCTGTATCTTCAAACAAGGTGAAAATTACAAAAGTGAGCAAATTTACTATACTAATACTGATAATTTCATTGGTCAACACCTAGTAAATTTGCTCACTTTTGTCATTTTTACCTTGTTTGAAGATACAGAATCGACCCCTAAGAAATAAACTCTTCTATTGGATATATATATATATATATCAAATGTCATATACTATTACCTGTATTCATAGTCAAGCCTTATACTTAAGGCTTCCTTAAATTTATCTTCAGATGCTCTGCGAATTATTTTATTGACTACTGAACATCTAAAAATAAATTTAAGGAAGCCTTAAATATAAGGTCAGGGGGTCGATTCTGTACCTTCAAACAAGGTGAAAATTACAAAATTGAGCAAAAATTCACTAAAATATTTATAATTTCATCGATCAAAAGCTAGTGTGAATTTGCTCACTTCTCTAATTTTTATCTTATTTAAAGATAATTATTATGTACATACATAATCAGAAAAGGTTATTTAGTTTAGTTCTCCCCACCTCAAAGATCAAATTGAAATTAGGCTTATTTAACGCGTTTTTGCATGAAATGAAAGAAAAAAGCGTCACTTTTCTTTATGAATCGAGATTGTAATCGTTAAGTTTTTTTTTCATTATAGTCTCTGGATGGGGAAAATTGATGCATTCTGCCCTACCTTTGATCAACACAGACACTCAACCAATTCCTTGTATCAATTCTCTTTTCCACCCGTATTTCCCCATACACGAAATTTCCTGTTAACAATTCTCTTTTAATCCGTAAACCGGAACTCAGCTTCTCAAGTACAGAAAACTGCAGAAAACTCTTAACCCATATATATAGAGCACAAGTGGGATCAAACTGGGTCGAGAACCCGAAACCTGCCGAATGATTTTGATGTCCCAATCGTTATGGGTTATGGCTTTTGCACATCAGCGCGATGTGCAATGCGATAAATATTGACGATTATCAAGCGTCCATTTTGATCACGTGACCTATTTTGATCATGTGACGCTGCAATGAGCATCGAGTGTTAAGTCTTAAACACAATAGACACAGGCAATAGGCACAGGCAACAGGGAATAACGAGCCGTCCAATCACAGCTCTGAGATATAATGGCTGTGTTCCAAAATTGACTGCCAGTACTAAAAATCTATAGTGCACGTAACGTAAACTGTAGCATTTTCAGTGCTGACAGTAAATTTGGAACACAGTCAATATCGAACTTATACTCCAGAACTCTGATTGGACGGCTCATTATTCCCTGTTGCCTGTGCCTATTGCCTGTGTCTATTGTATTTCCAGCTTTAAACACAATAGGCACAGGCAATAGGCAGAGAATAAAGGCCATCAAGCCCAAGACACAATGCGAGGGAATAGCGATAGCGATAGGAATAACACGATTTCAATCTAAAGAAATCGGATACACCGGAATACACAGTTTCTGATAGGTTGAAACTATGTTATTCTTATCGCTATCGCTATTCCCTCGCATTGTGTCTTGGGCTTCACACGTACAAAAATTTTAGTCGCAATCGTAAGACCGTAAGCAAATCGGCCAATCACAGTCGAGAATTTTTTAACGCGAGATCGTAATATTTTATCAATCACGATTCAGTTTAATATCATTTTGATGTTAGTAGTTGTCGTGAGTTGTTCTACTTTAATTGCGAAAATCTTTTATATATGATTAATGATATTGTGTGGAAACTGCAGGTGTAAGTAACTTTCTATCTTTTTGATAGTGATTATATATTTGTATAATGTGCTTATACATACAGGGTGAGGCAAAAGTATGGAAACCCCCGAATAACTTCTGACGAGGGCATTTTACGAAAAAATTTTAAATACAAAAGTTTTAGGAAATTTCTCAGGCTTTTCAGTGGTGACCTTGAATTTGACCTTGATCGTGAAGAAAATGAACTTGACCTTCATATGACCTTCAAGGTCACGATCAAGGTCAAATTCAAGGTCACCACTGAAAAGCCTGAGAAATTTCCTAAAACTTTTGTATTTAAAATTTTTTCGTAAAATGCCCTCGTCAGAAGTTATTTGCCTTGACCTTGATATGACGCTCAAGGTCATGGTCAAGGTCATATTCCGATGTAAAATTTTCCGCTCTTTCTGAATCCACGATGAAAAATGGGGGTTCCTATTTAAAAAAATGAACTTGACCTTCATATGACCTTCAAGGTCACGATCAAGGTCAAATTCAAGGTCACCACTGAAAAGCCTGAGAAATTTCCTAAAACTTTTGTATTTAAAATTTTTTCGTAAAATGCCCTCGTCAGAAGTTATTCGGGGGTTTCCATACTTTTGCCTCACCCTGTATAATGTAATTACATATAATGTGATTAATTAACCAAAATATTTGGCGACATAATTATCATTTTCGAGAAATACTTTAAATTTGTTTCAACAAGTTTGTAATTTGTAAAATTTATTAAGAGTTTTTTAAATCTGTATACACACAGATTACAAAACTCTTAATAAATTTGAAGTACTTCAGAAATGATATTTAAATGTACGTTTAATTGATACTTAAATAATATTTAAATTTGTTTTGTCGACTTAAATAATAAAAAATATTATTTAAGTATCAATCAAGTATAAATTTAAATATTGTTTTTGTATAAGTATTAAAATTAACTGAAAACTTTTTGGTAATATTTTAAAAAGATTGCAGATTTTTTCTGTAACATTTGATCAATCTTTCAACAATGTTTCATGTGCAAGAATCGGACATTTTGCTATTTCAGAGCTGTCTCAGAAATGTAGTTGCAGACGTATTTCGCAATTTTTATGAAATGTTTCACTTTTCAGTTGAAATATTTCTAAGATATTTCTAAAAACTTTCAGTGTTATTTGGGTAAGTACTAAGCCGTAAAAAATTAACCGATTATAATCAAGTATTCTCCACTTATTTAATTGTAATTGATCAATTTCTTACTAAGAAATTTGAAACTAAGAATTTGAAGCTTAAGTTTTACGCCTTAAAATGTCATTGTAGACGCCTTTATACATACGGCTGTTTCAACATTTGCAACCAACGCGCGACGGTAGCAAAATGAGAAAAATAGCCATTCATGCAGAACTTAAGAAGGACAACACGCGCCACGCGTGTCACAATCGAAGCAACGACAATCGTGATACGAAGAGAGGTGAGTTCGCAGTTCGCAGTGAAGTTGCAGTGCAATGTGGTGCAGTCATGCAATGTAAGAAATAAGTATAAATAATGAAAACTCATCAAGGAAAGAAACTTCCCGCATCTTTCTACAGACTCTCGAAGAAGAAAGCATTAGTAAAGAGGTTCGTACATATAATGCATTTCTAATTGTTTCAATCACATCTAAAATGAAAAATGAGTAAATGTTAAGAAGACTCCACCTCAAATTTTGATAAAAATATACTCAACCGATGCGTAAAAATAAAGATTTACCAAGAAAAAGGCGTCGCTCTGCTCCATGAACAGAGATATTAATCGTTAAAGTTGATGATCATTCAGGTTAGGAAATCTGTCACAGAAGTGGTTCACTGCTTTAAAAATACAAATTCACTTTGCTTTAGCAAAGAATTTGTTGTTAATACAGAGAATTTGTGTTTTTAAAACAATGAATCTGTGTTTTTAAAGCAGTGAACCACTGCTATGACATATTTCCTAACCTGAATAATCGTCGACTTTAACGATTAATATCTCGGTTCATGGGGCAGAGCGACGCTTTTTTTCTTATCAAATCTTTATTTTTACACGAAAACACATCGATTGAGTGTATTTTTATCAAAATTTATGGTGGCCGGGATCTTCTTTACATTTACACAAAAATGCTTTGTGTACATATCTTTAATAAATCGTTAACAGAGAAGTTATCTGTACATGAAAGTATAGAAATATAGACTGTCTATCTGTTTGTGCTCTGTTTTCATATTATGTGTCAAACATTGAAGGTTACCAAGCTTATCAACGAAATTCATTTATGAATTTCTTATTCGCATTCATTTACATTACACTACATCAGTGCATACTAAAAGCCGCTTTACATGAAATTAGCAAAGTTAAATGTAAAAAAGGTATAAATATTTTAAACAATTAACTATCTACTAATGATATTGATAACTATCTACATATTATTTAACAAAATATGTATCATTTCTTTGTCAAAGGTGATTATATTATCAATAAATAAAAGAAAGGACTATGAGCCAGGGTTGATGTTATTTTACCCACTTAAAAAAACCGGCAATTTGTGGGTTTTTTGGGGTTTTATTGGAATTGTGGAAAAATAAATTTTTTAAACACATAAAAGGGACGTATTTATAAATATTTAATGAATATATGTATACTAAATTATAACTGAAGTGATGATTTTAACATATATCAATTTTAAGATATATACAGGGTAAGTCACTTAAGACCACCCGAATAACACCCACAGTTTTGGAGATAGGAAAAACGTTTCAGATGAAAGTGGAATGATTTCAAAGGGGACGTATTTTGGTCATGTTGTCTTTTTTCTAGGTGGAGGCGCTGAAAAAATATATATAGGTCACCTCCATTTTTTTAAACGAAATTGTATAATTTTTTTTATACACTATGGTCATACTAATCATTCTGCATATAAAAGTATTAAGGTAGTGATAATAAGCTAGTGAATAATGATAAATACAATGTAAACTAAATATTACATAAAAAAAATATGGAATAATCAATTTTGCCAAAAAAACCCCCCAAAAATCCGAAAAATCCGAAAAAACCCCAATAAAATCCAATAAAACCCCCATAAAACCCCTAGTGAGTTGAGTTTTTTTTTAAAAAGTCCGGGTTTTTTCCAACCCTCCTACCAATTAAAATTTAAAGAATATTTAATATTCGTACAAACGTTTCGACGCCGATCGGGTCATTTTCAATGTAAAAACAAATAATATTACATAAGTTGTCGAAGTATTCGGTCAGATTATAATAGTATCCAGTGAAACGTATCGGTTGTAGTAAGAGTAAGAAATTGACCAATCAAAGTCGATTATTCTTTTCACAATCGATTGTGATTGGTCAATTTCTTATTCTTACTTCTTAAAGCAAGCTTACTTCGCATATTGTAGACGACGCCTTAAACCAAGCTTACTTCACATATTGTAGACGACACCTTACTTAGGGGCAACCTGAAGATGTTAATCGATTTTGATGAAATTTTACCCAGATCATATTGAGGTCTACAGTTAACTTTTGGGGGATATTCCTAATCGATTTAAAAAAAAAATTTTTTTTTCGACCCACTAATAAATATATACATATATGTATATATATAATAAATACACATATATGCATAATATTATCTTTATCCGCAATTCGTGACTGTAGCATCATAATGTAAATTTATTTATCAACAATGTCGAAAAATAGTTTTTTCTTCACATCTATAATTTGTAGTGTACCACGTCCACTTTCGATTTTATCGGCGAGACGGGGGGTCTCGAAAATGGACGTGGTACGTAGTTCCCGCAGCTCAAAAATTTACGTTGGAGTCGCTAGTGTACGGGGAGTTAGAAGCATGAAGTAAGAAACTCTTACTTTATGGTTAGAAGCATTACAGGAAAATGGTCGGGATGGCTGCTCTCAGGTTTCTCTTTGGTGGTACTGAATGCACCCATTGGAGGCATCCGTGCGATATTTCCGAACGCAGCCTTGTAGAACAACCATTAGCATGAAAAGGCACCTTAAAAAAAACACAAACAGTGCTAATAACGTAACAATGTCTCCTGACGTCTACTCGATCTGAAGTAACATGTTTCGAGCGAATATTTCACAACTCCTAATCGTAATTTTGCATAAAAAGTATATTTTTATAATTTGTATGACACAATGGTAAGGTATAACAGTAAAAATCTACCTCCATACGCCCGTAGACTCTCCCGAAAGAAAGCATATGTACGAAGGTGTGTATATATTTTACAATAATTACTTTAGAATATAAAATAGGACTGATAATCAAACTTAGATATCAGTGTGCATATAAACTGTACATAAATTTATTTAATATTGATAAGTTGCTGGATGTTTCGGCTGTGTTTAATTCGAACTATCTTCATCAATTGAAAAATAAAAATAAAAACATCATGGTCTGAATTGCACATGTTGAGATGAATTCTGGATTTTAGAATAGAATTACAAGTTTTTCCAACCTGGTAGGTCGAATAATCTGTAGATACAGCGGAGAACAGAAAGCCAATAAAAAATAAAAATAACCGTGAACATATTGCATATTAGAAAGATGTAAATAAGTCGTAACAAGAATAAAGTCAAAGAACAATTGAAATATTAATTATTATCAGTAGTTTATTAACAGTTGAAATATTAAATGTATGACATATATAAAACGGTATGTGAAAATTTTGATCACAGTTATTGTATGTCTGTTATATTTAATATTTAACATATTTTTTATATCTTAACTACTGATTTTTTTCTTTATTCTTGTTACACTTTATTTATATTTATTCATATTTTTATTGTATGCACTGTTCATGATTATTTATTCCTATTTTTTATTGATTTTTTATTCTTTGCTGCATCTGACCACTCATTGTCAGCTTACCAACGAGTTGTGGTAGATTTGTAATTCTATTCTTTAAAATCTAGAATTTATCTTGTCATTGAGAGAATAAAGTTTTTTATTTTTATTGTTTATTTTTTGAAACAGTCAAAAACACTGTAAAATTTATCACACCGAGAAAAGTTGCTATTTCAAAAAAATATTAGTTGATTCAACTAAATGCAGCTGTTAGGGGCTGTCAAGCATATATTTATCAATTCAAAAATGTTTTGAATTACAAGATTTTGTTAACTTATATATAAATACTTGAATTAAATCACTGCAAACTAAATGAAGCGTCTGCTCAGACAATAATAGTAAAATAAATTCTATTCAGAAATAGAAAATTCTATTCCGACGATACTGATTATATTAACAAACAAAAGTGTTTGATTTAGCTGGTATATTGATATATTGATTATTACATATTGTTTATATATATACATATATATACATATGTATATAAACAATATATAATAAAAATATATATATATTATTTTTATTATATTTACTATTTATTATTTTTATTATACATTATTTATTATTGACGTTATTAAATCTGATTAAGGCTCAGTTCCATAACTTACGGTTAACTCTTAATTAACCGAGGTACAACTTATTCACACATTGTCTCTTTCCAATTCTAGAATTGGAAAGAGATGAGAAACAAATTGAACCTCGGTTAAGAGTTAAGCCTGATTTATAATGGCCGTAACCGTTAACTTATGCCGTTGCCGATAAAGTTCAACCATAGGATTTCAATGCTTTCGTTCATACTAATACGGCAAGTTAGTATGAACGAAAGCATTGAAATCCTATGGTTGAACTTTACTGGCACCGGCATAAGTTAACGGTTACGGCCATTATAAATCAGGCTTTAACCGTGAGTCGTGAAATTAAACCTAAGGGTATTTAGGGCCCTGGCACACAAAAAACTTAAGGCAGTAAGACGTAAGCAGTAAGGAAATCAACATGTTGGATTCGCTACTGCTTATGTTATGGCCTTATGAACTCTACTGTAATTGGTCAATTCGCTTACTGCTTACATTTTACTGCTTAAGTTTTTTTGTGTGCCATGGCCCTTATAAGTTTCTTTGTGTCGCATGCTCCGATATGCTCCTACCATAGCTTCTACTTCAACACGCTCGTTGGATGAGTAGCTTTGGTAGGAGCATGTTGGAGCATATTGGAGCATGCGACGCGAACAAACCTCGAGTAAACGAAGTCACTGTCAGCACCGCAGCCAATACGTAACATTAGGCGCGTTCGAGTTAACAAAGCGGCTAGCCTGCTCGCCAAGCAAATGAACATAATTGGTTGTTACTTATAGATCCAATCAATCATATTCAATCGCTCGGTAAGCATGCCTAGCCGCTTTGCCGTCTTGAACTCGCCCATTAGCTGCGTCTAGTAGAGAAAATTAATCAGGCTGTGTTCCGTTTCACGCAAAATGCGCATGATACATCATTTATTCTTGTTACTCACCAAATGTTAAATAAGTATGAATGGCCTAGTTTCCACCGAGGGTTCGAACCGAGTCAGAATATAAAAACCAACCAATTACAGTCGAGCATTCCCCTGTAATTCGACTGTAACAGGGAAATGCTCGACTATAATTGGTTGGTTCTTGCATTCTGACCCGTTTCGAACCCTCGGTGGAAACTAGGCCAATGATGCATTATGCACATCATGCGTGAAACGGAACGCAGCCTAAGGCTGCCCTCCCATGGAGAAAGAAACCACGGAACGGAATATTGACAGAAAAGAGATAGGATGAGGATAACTAGAGTACCTATAATAATATTATAGGTACTCTAATGCAGGGTCTACAATAGAAGTCGTAGCGGTCGTAGGGTCTTAAGTCATAGAAAATTGACCAATCACAGTTGATTATTCTTCTCATATAAATCGGCCAATCACAGTCGAGTGTTTAAAAACTCGAGATCTCAATTTGTTTGTGATTGGTCGATTTGTTTGCGACCTTGCGATTCCGATTAAAATTTTTGTACGTGTGATGACCTTTATGCGGGGTCTACAATAAAAGTCGTAGCAGTCGTAGGGTCTTAAGTCGTAGAAAACCAATCACAGTCGAATATGAGAAGAATAATCAACTGTGATTGGTCAATTTTCTACGACTTAAGACCCTACGACCGTTACGACTTCTATTGTAGACCCCGCATAAAGGCCATGTACAAAAATTTTAGTCGGAATCGTAAAGTCGCAAGCAAATCGGCCAATCACAGTCGAGTGTTTAAAAACTCGAGATCTCAATTGTACTCAATTACGTGTGATGGCCTTAAATTAATTGGAGTTGGAAAAAGTGGCCCTAAGTGTAGGAACCAATCGTATTCAAGAATTTTACAATATAGTTGCAAACAACGGCTGCTTTCTCTGCTGAACGCAGCCCAAGAAGACTAGAACTAAGGAGGATCAACTCGTGCCAATAGCGGCAGTGGGGGTGAAGCAAAAAGTGGCGACGGATAACTTCCCCCACTCTTGCGCTTCATTAGTCCTCTCTGTCGCTCTATATAGTCGTCGCTCTGTCGTTCTATAATCGTCACTTTGTCGCTCTTATATCGAACTTTCACACAATGCACAGTGCCGCTGCACATCGTGTGAATAGCCGCGGACGTTTTTTGACTCACCCCCACCACGCGAGTTGATCCTCCTTAGTTCTAGTCTTCTTGACGCAGCCGTTGTTTGAGATGGTCTTGAGATTAAAAATGGATTATGGATACCTGCGAGTTTTTTTCTCGAAGTCAGTTAAAACAAAAGACGAAAGTTCAGTGATTTTCGACAGGGATTTTCAGTTGCTGTAAGCGACAAGTATCTATGTCGCTTACAGCAAACTATTTCATCTAAAATTAAGGTTAGAATGACATTTTCTGTCTGTTCTTTATGTGTTCCTTGTTCCTAAAGCCTATTTTACAATTTGCTCTGTTTCCTATTTCTTGCCGTTTGTCTCTTGCCTTTTTGACCAAAAGGCAAAACAGGAAACAAAGAGCACATTATAGAATGACTATTACGTAAATCATAGGTCTGTTTTTTATGCCTGCACTAGACTGCACTAGAACTTTTTTTCTCGATTTTGCCAAACATTAGACATATAAATATCTCACTTTAAAGTAGTTCTTTAGTAAAGTGCCGAAAATTTGGGGTGTCTCACCAGGGCCTACCCAAAATTACAAATATCTGCATAATTTGGATAAAATATTAAAACTACGTATAGGTATATCATAATGAAATAGTATAGAACATACGATAGTCAAATCAAGAGCTGTCATCTTCATCGAACGAAAACAAGATGAGATTATGTTTATTTTTCGAGGTTAAATTTATATGCAAGTTTATGCATGTAAATATCCTGTCAGAATGGCCGTTGACCTATTACTTTTTTTTGTAACAATTAAAATCGTAATTTTTTTGAACTATTATAATCTCATTTTTGAGAAAAGTTTGGTAAGATTTGTGTGCAGTTAGTCAAAGAAGCGTTTGCAAGTCTTATCTGTCATTAAGTTATACGTAAAAGGTTACATCTTCAACATTTTTTTCTCTTATTTCATCGTTAACCTACCATAGAATTTTGCATACATTAATTTACTTCAGGTTCATTATATAAAAAAATTAGACATTTCTATGGTAACTCGATTTGCTAAAGAACCACCTTAAATTCCAAAAGTGTACACTAGTTCATTCACAAAAAAACAGACTCCATATATTGTATGTATATAATCAATGGACAAATTGTGAAAACATTGCACAATAATAGCATGAATTGAATAAAAATTTTGCAATAATATGGTAAGATAATTTGCCATAATTTTGTTAGAATAAAATTTCCAAATATTTATCAAGAATTAGACAAATTTAATTTAAGATGTAAATATCTTATAATTCACTTTCTTTTAAGAATAATACATCATGAATGAGACTCCGACAGCAATTATCTGTATAATGATTGATTATCTGTATAATGATACAATATCAAGATTTCATATAATTTCATAAATGCTCTTAGAGCAATGGAGAAGAACAAGCACTGCAAAGAAAAAGAAGAGCAAAAGAATTCGTTTTCCAATAATTCATCATTTACTAGTTTTTGTGGTGTATCAGTATTCTAACTCCACAAGTGTCTTACAAAACCTTGTATAGGAACACTGCAACAAGTATAAACTTGATTTTTTTATATTTTTTTCTCTTATAGGAAAGGAAATAAGAATTATCGACAAGAATTTCGAGTTAGCTAACCATATGTTTATATACAAGTTAACTCCATATATATTCTATATTGAAGATCCGAGTCAAAGAAAAAGTGTCTCACAACATCTCAATCTCTTATAGTGAAATTGTGGTATCCACATTATGGGAAAAACCTCTAGCCGTGGTAGATATTTAACTCTTTGTACTAAAAGACTTTCTAAAAAGAAAACATTTGTTTTAAGGTTAGTATTCTGCCATGCTATATGTTGAAGAAATTGTTTTAATGTCAAAATTGATATTTTATTATTTCATTTTCGTAAAGTCTGTACAAAATAGAAATATAATGGAAAATGTAGCAAACATTTTGTTCGTGGGATGTTACCAAAGGAGAAACATGCAAGCAAATAACATTGGTGCTCTTTACACTATGTATTTAGGTTGCTACCTATGCAATAGATATCCTTGTTCAATCTATGGGTTAAACAAGAATACTTATCGTATAGATAGCGGCCTAAACGTATGTATAAACTAGTCCAATATCAAAGCCGAAACCTACTGTTAATGCATTTCATTTATTATTCACAAAGCGAGCATCAGTTTATCCTTGTTGTCATCAAGTAAACAAGGATAAATTGATGTATATAGGCATTGCAGTAAAATGCACTCTGTGTCCTCAATTAGTCTTTAATATAAACCAAATCTGAAAAACTTATTTTGAAGTCAAATTGAAGACAACATTAAAACAGTTCTGACAATAGCAATATGACGATAGATTTACATCAAATGCAGACTTGATCTTTTGATGTTAATCAACATCTTTTTAACAAGAATTGTCATATGTTGATGAAATCTAAAAATTGCGACTAATTTATTGCGAAAAGTATTACCTCGGCCGGGAATCAAATCCCGTTTGCCAGTGTCCTCACAGTTAGACTACAGACCTTGGTAGTCGGTTTTCTTTACTATGTGCGATGGTGCTCTCAACAAATTTTTATCTCTTTAAAAATTTCTATTAAAATTAAGCCTTTTTAAACAAAAAAACTTACTTATGGCACAATGTTTAATGTTATTCATTTCATCATGAACACTAACTAATATAGCTTTGTTTAAATTAAACTTTTATAATAAACTATTTTACACAACAAATTCAAACAAATTACAAATACAAAATACATGTATTTTGCTCAGCCCTGACTGTATGTAATTATGCATAAAGTTTATTCAGGAATGGGAAGTAATGCATTAGGTACTGGTTGTGCTGTTATCATTACAGTTACTTATTTTGGTAACGGATTGATAATAGCATTCAATTTTTAGTCTTTGACTAGTATTCATGGTCTGTTATTATATTTAAGTCTGTCTTTTAACCCATTAAAAGTCCAGCGTCTTCTAGAAGACTCTTATGCACTTTTCTCTTTCTTTAAAATTTTTCAACTTGACTCGCATAATAAAAATTTTTATACTGCAATTGATATTTATAAGTAAAAAGAATTGCGTTTTTTTTTAATCTTGGCGATGGGGATATCTGACGAAAATGGATGTATCTAATGATTAAAAGTAGAAGTACAAAAAATAAGTAATTCCTGATATGACAAATATTCAACTAATAAATGATTTAGTCTATCTTTCTGAATAGAATAAATCAATATAATTATTATTTGAGTGATCTGAAAATATAATAAAAATATAATCAGTATCGTGGGTATAATGAGTAATATAAATTATTCAAAGAAATATAATTTAATTTATTATTATGTTTCGTACAATGCAAATGTTTCGACTTACTTAGTCTTCATCAGTGCTCAAATTTAAATTTAAAAAAAATTCAGAAATCCTGTACTAATAATATATCGTAAATTTAATTAGTCGCTCCCCTTTAACAATGAATTTCGAAAGAATTACTTCTATTTTACTTTTATTATTTTTTGCAGGCGACGACTTAAAAGAGAGATGCAGGAACGAGCAGCTTTGGAAGCCATCGCTAACAGTATTAAAAGTGAATCCATCGAGTCAATAAATTCATTTATGTCACCTGAAGCAATGAGTACGAAAGAAATTAATACTTTAGAAACGTACTTAGGTACAAAGCCAATGGATTCGAAAGAAATGAATACTTTAGAAACATACTTGGGTACAAAGCCAATGGATTCGAAAGAAATGAATACTTTAGAAACGTACCTGGGTACAAAGCCAATGGATTCGAAAGAAATGAATACTTTAGAAACGTACCTGGATATAAAGCCAAATAAAGATACATATGAAAATATCCGAATTTGTGAAGGAGATGTTAATGATACTCTTGCTATCAATGACAAAATCCTTCCAGGTATAGATCATATCCAAGAACATGAACCTGAAGGTGATCGTATTATCAATATTTCTTTCTTTTTGAGAGAGATGCATCGGTTATTTGATGGTCATGCACCAGGATTTGAGTGCAAATTTAAAGATTGGATACTTATAAATTCGCGTCGCCGAGGGTTACTGACACAGTTCTTTTTTAAGTGTCAAACCTGCAGTTACGAAGCAAACTTTTGGTCACATCCCACAGACAAAAAAGTTTTTCTTATTAGTACGGCTATTACAGCTTCTAATCAAAATTCAAAGATTGGAATTAATGCCGAACTGAAAAAACAGTTTGCAGCTGTAAATCTACCGTGTTTGAATGGGAAAATAGATATCCGACAAGACATTTATTAATCGATGATATCGAGATGATGAACATTAAACATATGAAACTGGAAATTAAAAAGCAATTCGATCGGAGAGAAATGAAGTAGTCAGTGGCATTCCGTATCGTTGCGCATGAGACGACTATTAAGTTTGAGCTGCTGTGTGAATGAAGTCGCGAAGTATCCTCCGGACGAATCGTTCTTTATGAATGGGTTACATGCTGGAACTTTGATTTGGACATATGTATGCTTCTCTGTGTTTGAGTTTATACGTTTTTTGTCGTTTCCTCTACTAAATGTATCTTTTTTTTTTTTAGCGAATTTATCTCCATGCACCCGGTTTCGAATACCCGTGATCATTTATACAATGTAATCTATATAATATAAACCGACGAGATATTATTAAAGACCGACATCCTTATGGGAGTTCGCGTCCTTGTTAATATTGAAGTGATTAAGAGTAAAAAAAACTGATAATATTGTACTAATTTTATGATTTATTAGTTTAGTAGACATTTTTTTTATCGGTGTACGTGCATTTAAAACTCAATAATACTCGATTTTTCTTTAAAATTGTGATTTCAGTGTTATCATCAAAGTTCGATTATCAACAGAGATAATAACTGCAGAGAAAAAAATTGTAATTTTTCGGCAATATATAGGATATTATAGCTTTACAAATATACATATTTATTTATAGAGCATTTATGTAATAAAATATCATGAATTTAATAATGTATTAGTATAGTCAAATATTTATGTTAGTAATAGCAAATTTATATCAATTGTCGATAATGTCAGCGTTCTTCGATTACCTCCGGGCCCTTTTTATACCGCCCAAAATTTGCCCAGGGTTGACGGTCTTTAATAGTATCTCGTCGATGTATAAACTTAGCCATAATTTGTAAGAATTGACCAATTATAATCAATTATTCTCCTCTCATTCAACTGTGGTCACATCTTACAGATTAGGTCAGTATTTATTACGGTCAGTATAAATGATACTAAACTCACTGAAATATAATACTGGAACGCGCATTGGCTGATATCACAATCCGATAAAGAACGTTCTAAGTGATATTTTTTTTAGTATAATTCAATCTGATCAAAAGTTTCATTGTTACAGACTACGTTATGCGCCGAATTGTCTCTGGTGAGAGACATATACCGTACCAAATCGAAATGAATAATTAGATTAAGTTAGTTTATATTTTAATGTACATTAAACCAAGGTTGGTAAAAAAATATGTTTTAAACGTGTTTCAAACAGTTTCAAACATGCTATTTTTTAAACTGTTTAAACATAATGTTTTATTCTTAAAAAAAAAAAACATTGATCTTTATCAACCCTGCATTAAACGCATATGTATTACGTATACTAAATTTTTTATTTTTTATGAGACTATACGATCCTTGCTACCTACTGCACATACTGTGCTATAGTTTGGAAAAGAGCAAAGGCATCACTGGAACGCTATCTCTCGTCACTTAACAAAGGCATCAGAGGGTCGCGTGTCCCAGTATAATTGTATTTCAATGATGTCACTTTTTAATTACATAAGTTGCTTTCCTTTTAGGACAATCGACACAAGTGTCACTCTTTGTTTGTTATTTATTAAATAAATTTATTGAAGAAGGATAGAACGACGATTGTGTCAATTGTCTCCTAAAAGGAAAGCATCCTAAATATAGATTACTTCTTCTAATGCTAATTTTAATTAAGGCTAATCTCGTGAGATATCGTAAGTCAAGTAGTAATCTATACTTAGGATGCTTTCCTTTCAGGCAATTTCGATTCGCTGCCCCAAATTTGACCCACCATCATCATGCGCAATGAAACACCTTATATTCTTACATCGTGTTCTTAGCGATTATCGGCTTTCGTAGCTGTACTTATTTTCGCATCTAATGGTTCGTTTCGAATTAATGGTAAAAACGTTGACTCGTGTGTTTAAGAATCGATAGGAGGACAAAACTCATTTACATCCCATTTATAGCTAGATGTCTGCATTCTCTCAGACTCTATCATATATTGTATATTATCATATAATAGGGATGGGCGACATATCGTCGATATTTTGTTTTTTAATTGATGTGCATGGATATTTGAACAGGAATGTCAAATTCTCGGTACAATTTGTTAAGCCCGTGTTTAGCCCGGATTAAGATCACTTTTATTATTTATTGTACGAATACAATGTATAATATAAATTTAAAATCGTATAAGTATAAATAAAAATAAAATATGTAAATACTATATTTTTATCGATATTCATTTCAACAATGTGATAAAAAACAGATGTAATAAACAAAAATTAGAAATAGAAGATAAACAGTAAAGAGTCTTATGTCTATATATAGTGCTATTTTCTAAGACATAATTTATATAAAATTTCATTCTCTTATAAATTGTATAACTTTTTATTATTTTTCAAATTGAAACGATATTTCCAGTGGCATTAGTGCGTTTTTAAAAAAATAAAATTAGTTTTAAATATTTGTAGAATATATTATAATTTATAAAATCTAGAGTGACATTGTTACATAATTTATTTTTCATTTTATTCGATTTTATATTATTAAATGCTAATTTTAGTAAAAAAATATTTTCAAACACATTTCATATGTTATTTAGAAATTATCCAATAACAGCGTTAAGTGCAAAATTTATGTATATGCGTCAAATTAAGTTTTAAATTGCAATTGAATATATTTATCTGATTGTGAGTTATAGTATTCTTTATTTTTATAATCTTCTATGGATTACATAAGCAATTTAATTTTATATATCTATATATATTTACATATGATTAAGTTTTAAATTGCAATTGAATATATTTATCTGATTGTGAGTTATAGTATTCTTTATTTTTATAATCTTCTATGGATTACATAAGCAATTTAATTTTATATACCTATATATATTTACATATGATATATACCGAGTGGGGAAAAAAGATCGGTAACTCCTGAATAGATCTCGAAAAGTACTTGATGAAAAAATATTTTGTTATAGTGTTTTGAAAAGCTCTCAAATAAACTACAAGAATATACAATGAAAAATGGAGGTTTCCATTTTAAAAAATCGACCGATATAACCTTGACCTGACGCTTTAGTAACGCTACTCAAGGTCAAACTGATAATATCAGTAAGGATTTTTTGAACCCATAACTTTTGTCTGAAACATTTTTCTATAAAACTTATATTTTCTAAGTTATTGAAGAGTATTGACCTTTTTTTCCCACCCGGTATGTACATTATGTATATGCATGCACAAATAATTATATATTTAAATATTATATTAGCATTACACATAAATTTTAAAAGAAATTGTTGAGACTAAACAACTCAAATAAAGATCTTATTACATTTAAATTGAACCTGAATATATAAGATGTTATCATCGGTAATATTCAAAGCTATAATGGAAGATAACGAATGGAGATGTCCACACGTAGTATATAAGTCAAAGTCGAGAACATAATAGTAACATCAGATTGACATTGTACATTTAATTAAGATAGCAGATATTCAATTTACCTTGACAAACTTGACACTTATCTTATTAAGATGTGAAACTTATCTTTTAATAGCCTAAATTTCTGCTACGAATACTCGCTCATCTTAGTCTTAGTTGCCTTTGATCTTATTTTCCTTATATGCTGTAGTTGGTGATCACACGCTAATAGTATTCGTAATGTTTGTAAGGCCTTACAAGATCGATCATTTAATTAATATAACGACGGGAACGCATTGCTCTTAGTCGCAAGACAGACGTAAAGGAATGAACAGCAACGATGCTCAATTCATCAACTACGTTGTCGAATTTAGCTGTCACTAAATTTATTCAATTGAACAACTTGAATCAGTTCGATAGGAATTATCTCGATAGCTTGAAGGAATTATCTATTCTAACAGAAATATTAAAAGAATTATCCAAAATTTATTGACTCACACCGAACAAAGTATCAATTGATCTTACGTAATATTAACTTGACCTATGCGTCAGAGATTATTACTGTGCATTACGAGAGATAGCAATTGCTGTAGGAACAGTCTGCAGCAATAACTCGAGTTGATAGTATCGCTAAAAGCGATTTTTAATCGCATCTTATCAAATGTTTACAAGCAGTATAAAAACATTTTCAAATTACATATTTGCCATGGAATACTGGTTGATATTGTTATCGATAGTGATCGGTGTGGTCAGCATTGATTATCTTTTTAGAAGATTTAATTTCTTTAAAAGACATGGTATTATACACATACCGCCTCTTTCGATCTTCGCAATAATATCGATTATACTTCGTCGAAAATCATTCGTCGACTTTATCTTGGAAGTATACAATTTCAATCCAAATGCTAAATATTACGGATTTTATGCCATTATAAATCCATTCTTCGTGCTTCGCGATCCGGAACTCATTAAGACTATTCTTGTTAAGAATTTCGAGGCATTTCCAGATCGTCCTGGTTTCTCCGATTTAAATAATCTTTTGCTCGAGAAAAATTTGTTTTCTCTTCGCGGAGAAAAATGGCGGAACGTGAGAAGTCTTTTGAGTCCCTCTTTTACGTCCAGCAAGATAAAAATGATGTTCACGTTGATGTCGGAATGTGCTGTGGAATTTGCTAAATTTCTGTCAGCGTTGCCAACGAATAAATATGATGTGAACATGAAAGATGCTTTCTCTAAATATACGAACGATGTCATTGCCACATGTGCTTTTGGAATCAAGATCGATTCTATGAAGAATCCAACGAATAAGTTTTATGTTTACGGCAAAGAAGCGACCAACTTTATAGAGGATCACTTCGTAAAGTTTATTTTTCTTAGAACATTTCCTAATCTCGGACGAATTCTCAATTTAAAAATTATAAACGATTATGTATCGCACTTCTTTAAGGACATTGTAAAGACTACAATTGCTACTCGTGATGTGGAACATATTACACGTCCGGATATGCTACAGTTAATGATGGATATCAGAGGCAAAGAAGGTGATAGAAAATTAGATATCGATGACATGACTGCGCAAGCGTTTATCTTTTTCTTCGGTGGTTTCGATACCAGTTCAACCGTGATGTCCTTCGTAGCTCACGAAATCGCAGCTAACCCAGAAGTTCAAACCAAATTACAACAAGAGATTGACAAGATTTTAAACGAATCGAACAAAGAAGTGTCTTACGAAGCCATTAATCAGCTTGAATATTTAGATGCGGTGATAAGCGAGGCGCTTAGATTATATCCACCAGTCGCCTTCTTAGAAAGGATATGTGAAAAAACTTATGAATTACCACCTGCATTACCGGATGAGAAACCTGTTATCGTGAAGAAGGGTATGCCTGTCTGGATTCCGATTTTGGCAATCCATCGTGATAAAAAATACTTCGATGATCCGGAGAAATTTTATCCAGAAAGATTTTTAGACAGCAAGCTTCATAATTATTCATGTTATATGCCATTTGGATTAGGACCAAGAATGTGCATAGCTAACAGATTTGCCATGCTGGAAGTCAAAGTCTTGCTGTTTCATTTATTAGCGCGATGTGAATTGAAACCTTGCGCAAAAACTGAATCCCCAATAAAATTCAGCAAAAGTCTGATAATGATGCCGGAAAATGGATTTTGGTTGAATATTCAGCGTAGGAAAAATATGCATCCTTTGCTGGAGTCTGCAATAGACAACTAAGTATTAGAAAACATTTCAAGCAGTATAATAATGTATAATACCTATTTCAAGAAAATACATTTGTATTTGTAAAAATTATTTTTGTAATAAAAATTAATTACCACGTGTCTTTATGACTATACATATACATATATTATATTATTATATTATTATATATTATATTATTATATTATATTATTATACACAGCAATAATAAATTCAAGATTATGAATTGAAATTATATATTGGAAATAATTATCAATGTTATTAAAATTGATATATATATATAGAATTATGTATAATTCAACAAAAATAAAATCATATTATAGCAATTTCAATCTAATCCAAATTCAAACTTATATTTTCTCCTATACATATAACTAATTTATTGATATTGATACAAATGTTTGTAGGAACAAAGAGAAGAAAACGATGAGAATATGAATATATACAGGGTGAATTTTTAGAAAAAATGTATCGTTTATGAGATATTTGGGTGTATCCAGATTTTTAGCCCACCCTGTATACTGGATGGCCCATGTAAAGTGTTACAAGCTCTCTGAAAGTATATCTTATCTCTGAAAGTGTGTGTCAAATGATTGATATGTTCAGATAAAAGTTTTATGACTTTGAGGAGAGCATAAGATGGTACCATTTGTTTGACCTTGGGTAGCGTTGTCAAAGTGAGAGCAAGGCTACTTTGAATTTTTTAAATGGAACCCCCCATTTTTTATTACATTTTCTTGTAGCTTACCTCGAGAGCTTGTCAACACACTATAATAAAATATTTTTTTCATTAAGTATTTTTCGAGTTATAAGGCTCGAAAGTTACAATACAGTCAGCATTAGCATTACGCAAGTTGTCCGACCGACGGTTAAAACCTCTTGAATGTTGCTCAGAATCATGTTCTGGATGACATTTGTCAAGATCAAGGCCATTGGAGATTATTCCTCTTATCATTTTTACATAAAAATGAAAGTAAGAGGTACAACCTCCAATGGCCTTGATCTTGACAAATGTTATCCAGGACATGATTCTGAATAACATTCAAGAGGTTTTAGCCGTCGGTCGGATATCTTGTGTAATGCTAATACCGGCAATATTGTAACTTTCAAGCCTCATAACTCGAAAAGTACTTAATGAAAATGAACTTAATTATAGTGTTTTGAAAAGCTCTCAAGGTAAGCTACAAGAATATTTAATAAAAAATGAGAGATTCCATTTAAAAAATTCAAAGTAGCCTTGCTCTCACTTTGACAACGCTGCCCAAGGTCAAACAAACGGTACCATCTTATGCTCTCCTCAAAGTCATAAAACCTTTGTCTGAACATATTAGTCATTTGACACACACTTTCAAAGATAATAACTTGTAACACTTTACATGGACCATCCTGTATATAATGTATAGAAATATTTATTATTAAATAATAGCATATAACAGTTTGCATATAATCTGTTTAAAATAAACACAGACAGGTTTTTTAAATACTATTTATTAGAGATGGGACCTTTGAAACTGCGAAATCTCGAAACCTTCGAAACTTAGAAAAGTTATACTTCTAAAATTTAATATTTACAATATTCTTTTAACATGTTGATATATTTTTTGTTATTTAACACATAGAATGAAAGATTGAATCCTTCCTTAAGAATAAGGATTTAATTATATGAGGTTTAATTATGTGTGTATATATATATATATATAAAATCAAAATTTTTGTTATAAATAATTTTGCCGATTGAATAGTCGATTAAAAGAAGTCACCTATTATATAAAAAATCATAATTCAGCTGTTTTTTTTTATTGTAAATAATTGGAGACTTTTTTCGTTTTGTACATATCGATAATCGAGAAATATATAGGAAATATTTTTAAAATGTCGAAAATATTATTAAAAACAACATCTCATGAAAAGATGCGTAAAAACATTCTAGATGATAAACATAATTCACATGGAAGATTGAAGGACAATTCTATGGACAAAAAACGTTCTGAATTAACGTCAGTTACTTCGTCTACAGAGGTATGTTTCTCCTTTTCTTAATTAAATTTTGATTTAAAGAAATTTTATATTGATTCAAGCAACTTTAGATTACTTTGACTACTATAAAAAGATGTCTATCTCTTTTTCCTAATTGAACTACCTTAAATTTTGTCTTATTCGTAAAGATCTGTTCATCCGGATTTGACGAACAAAAACAGCAAATTATCGATAGTGACTGGGGAGGATACGCCTTGGATTTAGATTTATGGGAGGACAGTAAATCGTCTATTGTACAGATCAGGCCGAATGAAGTATTATTGGACAACAAGGAAAGTTTCGGCTTTTTGTCCGACAGATTGATAGGCATCGGCTCATCCTTTCTAATGAGATCACCTGAAAATGGTCTCTATATTCTCAGTAAATGTGTCTTGAAAAATAGGGTAATAAAAAATTCCACAATTAAATTAATACCTAACGAGCAAAAATGTTAATACAAATTTTATCGGTAGAGCGAGGACAAGAATATAATTATCTACAATATGCTAGCAATTTAATTCTATCTAAATTATATTTAATCCTAGTTTACTATGTAATTTACTATATATTTTACTATATAATTTTATAAATTTTTATTATTAACATTTAAATAAATATTAAATGTTTAATTATATAAATATTCTTTAATATTAATTTTTTAAATTTTAGTTATAATTAATTTATTTAAAACATGAGCTTAATGTAAACACAATTGATACCGATTCGCCAGCAATTTTCGATCGAATCTGCTGACATATTACCGACAGTTTATTTACTGAGTAAAAATGATTATACGAAATAATTCCGTCCATTTTTTACTTCCTACAATCAAAAGCAGAAAGAAGAAAAGTCTACAAGAGATTCTGTTATATTTTTGTTCTTATTCTGCTGACAAAATATATAGTAGACATTTTGTAAAATTTATTTTCAACAGATTTCGACTATGTCTATATAATTGAATTAACATAATATTTGAATTCCACATTTATTTGCTACTATTCTTTGCTTTTCAGAGTCTTACAGATATTACCATGTTGCGATATCATCGACATTTGCAATATATTAATGTCGCTAATAATAATATATCGTGTTTGTCGCCTCTGAGTGGCCTTCCATACTTAATGTATTTAAACATATCGCACAATAAAATTGAACATGTATCAAATTTTACACCTCCTTGGTACCTCACCTACGTAAATTTATCTTACAATCATTTAACAGACATCGGCGATCTGAGCGGTTGCTGGAGCATTGTCAGATTGAACTTATCTCACAACATTTTAGAAAGTATTTCTGGGCTAGAAAATTTAAAGTAAGTACAAAATGTGTCTTCCGATGCGCGACCTTTACAATTTGTTATAGTTTTTTATAGACATTTACAGTACTTGAACTTGTCCTACAACCTCATCGAACGTGTTGAAAACTTGGACGATCTGAATATACGAGAATTAAATTTAGAAGGCAATTGTATATCATCATTTAGATCTGCCATACCTGGCCGTGGCATAAATACGTTGCCTAATTTGCGAACAATTTTCCTGGGATACAATAGATTGTCGACTCTGAACTTTTTCAAAGTGATCAACGCGAAAGAACGGATTGCATGCTAAAGTATTTCTAAATCCTGTTTTAATTAAATGATTTTTAGGATGCATACACCTTACGCTTCGTAGATCTAAAGTTCAATAGAATCACTGATCTAATGGAGATATTGAATTTGAAAGGCTTAATATTTGAGGTCGATTTTAGAGGCAACACCTGTACAAAGTGGCCCAATTATCGAAACGTATTGACATCTTCTATATCAAGCGTTAAATTTATTGACGGCGTTCAGGTCTTTCCGGAAGAAAAGGTATTTCTTTCTAAATGAAAAAGAGTTGAAAACACTTTTTAGAAGTGCTGAGAAAACCTACATTTTCTAGAATTCCGAAGAAAATTGATAAAATCTAACGAAATTTAAAGCCCTATAAGTGCATAATATTATTTAATATGAAGTAATATTTTAGGCATATTCTTAGAATACTAAATGTAACATTTTAATAATATTTTGCTAAAATTATATAATATTACATGATATTCTCGAAATATTAATGAAAAATTATATGTCCACTCCTGATAATATTATATGATTGTTAAAAGTAACATTTATTTAATATTACTGTAATGTCGTATAAACATTAAAAAGTATTATAACAGCATTTACTTTAATTTGTAAAACTGTTACATCTATTCAGTATAAGTATACGTTTAAAAATTGAAAATGATTTTGGCATGCAGTTGTAGGACTGGATGCGTATTTAAAATCACATCGAAACGTTTTTTTTAGCACAAGATGCAGCATAGACTGATAAGAACTTTTCGTTACTAGATTGTGAATTCAAATTGCACAAAATTAAAAATAATTAATATTTATAAGTATTTTAATAATATTTCAGGAATATTAAAACATAATGTCTAGGGTATTATATAAGTGGACATAATACCTAGGGTATTATATAATCTCTACACGTAATATTAAACAAATATTTATGATACTCTCGACATATTATATTATTATTTTAATTTATTATAATAATATCCATATAACATTCTAGGAACATTTTGCGCTTATAGGAAGATTTCTTTTTTCAGAAATCTTCACAAATTTAAAATATTAATTTTTTTTAATATTATGGGATATTATGAGAATTTTTTTTAATTGCAAGAACTAGTTACTCAGTAACTAGTTGATTATAACATTTAATAATTAATTTTTATAATAATAATAATAAGAAAACATTAAAAATAATTAAAAGGAAAATTTTCGCATATGTTTTAGAAAAAATAAAGTTTGTAGAAATGTAAAAGAATTACTCATCTATATAAAATTATAAACAGTTATGTGCACAAGCAATTTTTTTTACATTTCTCTAAATTTATTTTTTTTTAAACAAACAATGCGAAAATTACCCCTTTAACTGTTTTTGATATTTTATTATTATTATTTTTATTTTTAGTATACTAAAAAATAATTTTACAAAAGAAAGAAGGATGTATGAACATGATGTATGGACATATTTCATGTATTATAATTATATATGAATATTTATGCATGTTTACGTATTTTTATAAATATTTTTATTTAGTAAATATTTTCTTCCAGGTGACATCGGCTATGCTGTTTGCCTCGCCATTGGACTTGATAGCTGCCCGTAAAGTAGCAAAATTAACTTTACTAGAACACTTAAACATCAATAAGATAAATGCTCACGTTCAACCATATGATGAAATCAGCCCTCCTTTGATGATACTCACAGGACCGTCGGCGTTGAAGAAAATGGCACTGGCCTTGCATGTGGCTCAAACAATTCCCGATAAAGTAATCCTTGCTATCCTTTTTGTAATATCCTTTCTTATTTTAAAGCTCAATTTCAAAGAAATAGCGGGACACAATCTTGCAGATAAAATATTGTCATTGGCATACTACAAAGGAGATATGTGAAGACGATGACGAACGTAAAGCGTACATTCCTGTAAATAGAGAAGAGTTTAACGATATGGCACGGCGTGGCGAATTTTTAGTGGTTCTGGACCTCTTGGGCGATAGTTACGGATTTCGTTAGTGCAATATTACTTATATTAATTTATACGAAAATATTGTTATTTGTAAATCTTAAAAAAAATCTCATATTTCATAATTTTTAAGATTTTTTTTTCATATTTTGAAGAATTTGAAAAATATATTAAATTTCTGTAGATTTTATAAGTTTTCTTCGGAAATTAAAATGAGAAATCTTAAAATAATTTAGAATTCATATGTATAATATAGTTTCAGAAATTGAAGAAGCAGATTGTATTTAAAAAGAATTTTTCAATGTTTAAAAAATCTGAGATATTTTCTAAAAAGTTATATTTATATAAAAAATTATAAAAAAATTCTAAGAAAAATTTTCATTATATTTGAAAACTATAATTCTTTTTATAGATGTAAATCAGATTCGTCCATTGATATCTGAACACAAAATTGGACTTACTCAAATGAACCTATATGCAGTCACCGAAATTTCTAAACGATATCCGAACGTGAAAGCGATCTTGGTGTTTACACAAAGTATTGATCTTCACAAAGATTGGATACAAGAGAAATTTGACGTTTATACTTGGATTAAAGACAGTGTGGAAAATTTGTTGGCTGTTAAAATAGGCAAGCACCGTGAAGAAGAAACAGAGACTGCTAGTTGTATATTAAACTTTATCGAAGAAATTTTGGATGAGGTTCGACTGAAGCTTAATTTTAATGCAATTTCTGATGAAAAAAAATTTTCATAATTCGTAATATTTAAAAATTTTTTCATATTCTAAATTAAAAAAAAATTTAATTTTAAATTTTAAGAGAAAATTTCTAAAAAATACTTGTTACACTTGTTCAGATTTTATAAGTATTTTTTGAAAATTATAGAATAAATAACTTTAGCGTAATATTTCAAAATTCATAAATAAAAAATTCTAGATGTAAATCCTTTCTGAGCATTTCTGAAAAATATTTAAATTCGCATAAAAATTGGAGAAATATTTTCTAAAAAGTTTTAAAATAATATAAAAATTGTGAAAATTACGTGAAGAATTCTAAAAAAAATATTCACTAGGAATATACTACGAAATTCTGCTAAGTGTATGTTTGTTGTTAGATAATGAGCCGTCTAATATTTCCAATTTATCACGGTATCTCCGTGAGACCTCAAGGAAACGGGGCTACAACAACCGATATAATATTGCAAAATAAGACGATGTTACCGAAAGTTGTATTGCGGAGTGAAATAACATCACAGAAAAAAAAGCACATTACATTAGTAGAAACGAAAAATGAAAAAGATATAAAATCATTTGATCAATTATCAGAAGAAAAAAAACAGACGTCGGAAGAATTAAAAGTACGAAGCATAACTTTAAATGAAATTTGAATATCTTGCATTATCAGCATTGTAAATATATAGGTATTATTGGACGAGGAATCGAATATCATTATTGACGATGAAGAGACGAAACGTGAAAAACACAGGTCGAAGATGTTGCAGCGTCGAACTATATTGATGATGGACATGCTTGATCAGTTCGATAACGATAATTTCAGCGAATCAACATCTTCCGAAGAAATAATGGACATTGTATATGCTTTGAATTTCGCGAAAGATTATCCCAGCAAACCAATACATAACTTTTTTATTTTCTAGGAATATGTCTATGTTATGTTACAGTAATATATCAGTGAAATATTTTTGATACATAAACAATACATTCCAAAGTTGCTGACATAGAGCTAAAATGTTACATTTATCGTACAAATAATTACGTGTAACGTTTTTGACATTCGTGTAATATTTTACGTCTATGTTACATGTTTTGGTTTGCTGGGATTAATCTCATTTTAGAAACTTCTTCATTATTTTAATCACAATATAGTAGATATAATTTACATATATTCTTTATGGAGCATTCAAGATAATTTTTAAGTACTTCTATTGAACAGAAAAACAACGGTAATATAAGTTTAGTTTAAAAAAGAAACATCACAATAGGATAATTTTTTTCAACATTCTCTTATTGTTATTTTTATTCTGTGTAAATATAATTTTCATGTACAGCATCAAGAGAGGATAACGCCCGAAGAAAAAGCAAAAGCATTAAAAAATATATATATTGAACTTGTTATAAAAAGTAGGAAATTGTACTTGGATTACCACGAAAGCCACCCTGGCTTCTTTACTTTAGTGGTAATTTATTATTCCTATATTAAATTAATTTTTTAATTACTGATATCAGAATCTGATATCATACATCTGATATGAATTATCACTTTTGTATTGCAGCTGCTTATGGATGAATATACAAAAGCTTTTGACTCATTAATCAAATTCATTTATGAATCGTATTCAAATTTGCCTTACAGAAAATCAATATTCTTATCAGAAATGCAGCATTTTAAACATACGGCTATTCCCGTTGTGCTTGAAAGTATCGTTGATAAGATCAGAGAGTGAGTATATGACATTTATACAAAAATTGGTTAACGCAAAAAACATTTTTTTGTTACAGAAATTTATCAATATCTAAACTCCAACGCAGAAAAATATTAAAATTGCAGGGAATTGATTGTCCTTCTCAAAATAACGATCGCGATAAGCTATAATAAAATAAATTAAAATATATAAATACAGTATATAATCTAAATATGTGTATAATATTTTTTATCAATGCGACTAGCAAAATAAAGTTTTGGCCAAGTATTTAAAAACAATCTGTATAACATATGTATATTTCAAGTTGCACGTCAGATATGTAAAAGACTTTTTGGTATACACGCGTGCATTTTATACTAAAAATCCATAGTTTTTGCATCAAAATATATCAAATAAAACTTTAGCCGTTTTTAAACATATATGTACACTACTAGTTACATAAATACTAAATTTTTTACACACACACACACACACACACACACACACACGCACGCACGCACGCACGCGTTTATATGTATATACAGGATATCTCACAACTACCACATTTCCTCTTAAGGACATATTCTTGAGATAATTTTGAGACGAAAATCCTAATACGAAAATATCGACTACAATAATTTTTAGAATAACAAGTTAACTTTAAATGCTTATAAGTCAAAAATCATTTTACTTTTATAGCCTCTATTATTATTTCTGGATTCTTTTGAATATTCTAAGACGAAAATCCTAATACGAAATTATCTCAAGAATACGTTCTTAAGAGGAAATGCGGTAGAGACATTCTGTATATATCTCATTTATAATATGAGCAGCACAGTGCGGAAGATATATAGATTGAGATAATTTAAAGTTACATCGTAGATACAATCAGTACATCTTATTCCATTTGTAATATTTCATCGATATCTGAATCTAGATCAGAATACTTTATTTCATTTTTACGTTGAACAATAGCGGGATCTTTGTCTTTCAGAGTTCGCGGAGCAGGTTGTGGGAATATGTTGCCTTTCGTCTTCGAGCTTGTAAAATTCCGTATAGGACTGTTCAAAATTGAGTTCACGAGACTGGTTGAGTTTAACAGTTGATTTCCTGCTTGATTATAATTCATAAAATCCTGTGAGCTCGTGTTGACTCGAAAGATGGTTTCAACCGATCCTACAGGAGGTTTTCTTGATATACTTAACTAAAAAAATAATTTATAACAGTGTCATTTCAATGTATATCACACAGATATCTCAAATAATTACACACAAAATATCACACAGATATCTCAAATAATTACACACAAAATATCATCTTACCTGCTCCTGTATCTTCTTGGATATTTCTGCGATTTTATCGCTTTGCGAAGTTTTTAAAACAATGTTGCCTGTGCTCATAGATTTCTCTTTTTGCAACGCATATTCTCCCCTCTCAGCAAAGCTTAATAAAAATAATGAGAATTAATTACATATTTAAATATACAAATATATATATATATATATACATATATATGTAATAATATAAAAGAAAAAAAATTACAATATAAAATCTTTAATACCTTGATACTTTCCAATCATTGTTATTTACTTGATTCTTTTCTTGATCGTTATCTGATATCATATCATCATCTTTTTTATCATTCAAATCGAATAAAACTTTTTTCTTTACCAAGCTACCAACTGAGCCACTCGTCAATTTTAAAACACTTTTATTTTTTGGAGAAAGAACTGAATCGTCTGGCATAATTGTACTATCCGAGTCATTGTTTTCAAACAATTTTGGCATTACCACCTGTTTCTTACTGATTGGAGAACTCATTTTATTTGTGGTGGTATCCGATATAGTTATCTTCATAGGTGAAATTTGTTTTATATCTTCTCGAGATTCAATAGAGCTAGCGGAAGAAATACTTCGAATCGATTTTGAATATACCGGAGTCACTTTTGGACTGGTATAAGTGTCTGCCACATTTTTTTTCAATGGTGATTCACGTGTATTCTCATACACCTCGTCTTTGTATTTTTTAGGAAGAAGCTCGATGTTCTGCTTTAGACGTAATTTTAATGGTGTCGTATTTTCTGCTTTCTGGATAGATGTATATTCGCCTAAAACACAAAAGATTACATTACATTATATATTTAATATTATATTAACTGTCCATAGTAGTACGTGGGCAACTTGAAAAGTTTCTTAAGTTTCGGAAAGAAAACAAAATTTTTCGGAAAAGTTTCATTTTATTTTTCAATATAATCTCCCCTTAATTCAATACATTTTGTCCAGCGGTACTCCAATTTCTTCAAGCCGTCCAAAAAGTACGATGGCTGAAATTCTGCAAAATGTGCGCTATCTCTGTATGACTTAAGAAACTTTTCAAGTTGCCCACGTATATTACAGATTTAGTGTAGAAAATATATGATTACCATTGTCTTTGCTGAATGCTTTCCAAGCCTTCGATTTAACGTGAGTAACCAGTTTATTCAAAGGGAAATTTTTTGTAAGCGTGGAATATCTTGATTCTTTATGATTTGCTGATATTCTCTGAAGAACATCCTCGAGTATTTTCTGTTTAATTTGATTATACCGAACTAACTTCTTTACATTAATACTTTGCTGATGCCTTATAATCTCCATCTTTTGCTTATACGTTGCAACAGGTATTCCTTGCCATTCTGGATCAATTCCTAACTCTCTTAACCGATTATCAAACATACTTCGCGCGTCTTCCAGAATCGACATTTTTCTGGTATTGGGAGATTTAATTGTTGGAGTTTTATATTTTTTTACTAAATCATCATCCGTTGTAACACTCTCACTATCGGTCCCTGACTCTGACATCGATGACAAAGAACCAGATTCTGTCACAGAACTTACACTATGCTTTTCTAAGAATTCGGATCTCTTGTTTTTCATATTATCTGTATCTAATGTTTCTTTCTTTTCTCTAATATCTACATATTTTTTATTTACATCAATAGAATCTTCTTTGATAATAAAATTTTCATTTATGCGGTTATTAACTTCATTTATGTCATCCAACTCATCAGAATGCCTCGCACTATTTTTCGTTTCTTTAACAACTTCTGAACCATCTAATTTTTTCAGATTAGACTTAGTAATCAAATGTTTTACAGTCCTGCTGTTAGTTACAATTTTCTTCTTATCCTTGCTCTTTACAGTGTTATCTTTAGTAGGTATATTTTGGGTTCGTGCTACGACTGACATCAATTTTTCACTATATTCTTGACTAGATTCACTACCAACATCTTCAATGATCATTTCAATATCTTCAGTATTATTTAAACTATTATAAGTTTTGTTTTCATTGTTGCTGTCGTGTTTTATTAATAAAGCAGATTTATGGAATTCTGCCGCGTTCTTTTTCCTAGTTTTGTGACTATTGATTTGTGTCTGCGAATTATTGATTTCACGTGACAAGCTGTTTAATTGTTTCCTCTGCTCTGCCAACATGTTGGTTTGATCTATGGACTGTTTCTCCAAGTTGTGTACCTTAGACGCATACTCAGACTTTATACGATCAGCTATCTGCTGAGTCGCTTTCAATTCTGTCGTCAATTTCTCGATATCCCGATGATGTTGAGCTTCCATATCTTCTATCTTGGCTTTCCAATGATTCTCTTGCGTTTGTAGTTTTACCTGCATATTTTCCATGCCTGGAGTCAACTACAAAAAAATAATCTAATATAACTTACTACCTAATAAGAACAATGTACAATAAAGACTATCATTTCTTACTCTTTCAAGAAGCTGAGTTCTCACGTTCTCAATTTCTTTCTCTTGTTGACTAATTAGACTTTTTACATTTGTCTCTAGAATACTCTCATTTACAACGTGATCTTTTTCTCTTAATGCCTGCAAAAAAGTTTTAAGTAATTTTTAAGAAATTCTATGAATAGAATAAATCACTAATTAATTTATGAACTTACGCGTATCTCATCAAACAGCATATTCTTCAAACTTCCAATATCTTCTTGATATCTTCTTTGTTCTTGAAATCTATCTACTTTGCTAATATCATACTCGTTTCTACTTATGTTTCTTGAATAATCCTTTTCTGTATTATCCAACAGTTTGTCAGATTCATTTCTTATTACTCTTTCAGTTTGATTCAGTCTTTCCTTCAATGTTTTTATCTCGTTATGTAATTTCTCCGTTTCTGCTCGGTAATGGTCATGCACAGGAGAAGAGGATACACCCATGTCTGATATGTACGAATGTTTGCGTGCTATGTGAGCATTTACAAATATAGCACGCACAAATGTTTTCGGGCAATGTGGGCACTACAAGAAACCTTGCAATTAGATTTTGAGAGTATTGTGATCAATTTATAACATATAATTTACAATTTGTAATCAACAGAAGTCAATATATCATTTATAATCAATAAAACATATTATATTTCTAACAAATAAATTTGTTGAAATTTACTTTGTAAACTTCTCCATTAGAGATTTCACCGATGCTAGTTTCAATTAATTTACGTTTCTCCTTTGATCTCTCCTTTAGATTCTTTACAGTATCTTCCAAGGCAGCAATTTCTTTCTTCATACTGATATTTTGTTCGATCTTCTGTCTTAGTTCATCCTTCAATATTATTACACTATGATCCAAATACTGTTTACAATACAATAAATACTCAACTGACAGTTGTGCAAGTCTAAACAACTTAACAAAACTAGAGTCCAAGATCTTGACATCATATTCACTCTCCAAGCAGTAATCTATTACATTATTAATGTTTTGATCAATACTTGAGAAATCTCTTTCCCGTATAACTCTGTCTATATCTATAGCACCTGCAATAGAAACACAAATTGTAATTTACAATAATAAACTTGATATTTTCTTGTGTCACGTCCGACTTACCTATGCGATTCCAGTCAACTCGTACTCTGGATCCATGCATATTAAAGTAAAATCCTGATTCCCTGGCGAGTTTCGGGAAATCATGGCACCAATTAGTGCCAGCTCGAAACGAGAATGCCATTATTTAAAGATTATTTGTACAGCGTGTACGTGAAAAAGTCTTTGGAAA